GAACAATTGATATAGGATGTGAGTCACTGTAACCGAGGGAAGAGATGTTTTGTAGGTTATCATCTAACGATAGGCAGGATTCAGTCGAGTCTTCATGAACGACGTTAACATAATTTTAAAAATATGCAAGTCACTGTAACCGAGAGAAGATATTTTGTTAGATGCCTAAAGGTAGGCAGGATTCAGTCGGATCTTCATGAAGGAAGTAAGCATCTGTTGCTCATTTTGAATTGATTACAAACACGATGATTTGACGATACCAGGGCCTCAATTAGGGTTGCCAGATAACTAGACTAAAATATCTGGACAAAATTTGAAAAAGTCGAGATTTTGGGATCACAGTCGGGACAAAAAAGTACTAATAAGAAATGCACTTATAACATTTAAACAGCTAATATACCTACTTATTATATTTTTATGATATGTTTGTTATTTATTTTTTATACTTGTAAATCGATTTTACAGAATAACAATTTTGTCGGGACATTTTTGTATTTTTTCGGGACTCTGGACATTATACCAAATGTCTGGACAATCCAGACGAATCCCGACCACCTAGCAACCCTAGCCTCAATACGGGTGTAGACAGTAAACGAAAATAAATACATATTTTTTTCTGTTATTGTTTAATATACTATTACCGATAATCACACTTATGCTTATTATATCTATAATGTTGCATAAACTATATTCGACTTTCACAAATGCTTGTAACAGCCTAGACTAAATAAATAATTTTGATTTTATTTTTTTAATGATGAAAAACCAAATATTTGATGCTCGTTGTCACGTGATCGGAGTGCTCAATAGTCAATAAGTTTATTGTTTCCATAGGTAATTTAAAATAATGTTACATTATTTAGTTAGTCTCATAGCGACGCCACGGCATTCTTAAACGAATATGGCGTTCTCGCGGGAAATTTTGAAAATTTCATTGAATTTTAGACAACTTAAGACAAGATAAATTATTACATGAATGATATTTTTAGTTATACTTCATGTATATTTAACCAATAATAAAAAAGTTAACCGATTGATGTCTCGTACGTTGGAGATATATGAAAAAAATATATGAGGGACATTTATAATCGTAATAGAACACAAAACAAAGACTTAAACTTCCAAGTGACCTAGCATTGGACGGAAAAACATAACAAAAAATAATAGATCGTGAATACAACTAGACAGATAAATAACAATTTAAAAAGATCAGAAACAAAAGAAGAACTGTTGAGTGAGCGTAATTATCACTAATACGAGTATACCTAATGTAGGAACAAAATGCTCAGATACAAAATCAGAGTAAGAAGTGAGAAAAAAAATTGATAAATAACTTTCGTAGGGTTGTTCATAGGATGAATGACCAAAACATTATTATCTTGAGGCCCTCCGTGCTTTAGAATGCAAGTTTAGCCGTTGGTCCCGGCTTTATCAGCAGTCTACTCTATTCGATCGCATCCATAGGAAAGAAGGAATTCTCCTAATATACTTTCCCACGCAGATGAAGACACGGGCACAGCTAGTCTATTACATAAAAATATTAAAAAGTTGTCTACGAATATCAACTATTTACAATTGCTTTTGTACTATCTACCTGAAGTCTGCAATATCTTCCTTACAAATTAATGGTGACAGATATATTTAATTATTTTGTGATCTTGTAACAAGAACTGTGTCATAATGATTGGTAGTTGAAGTGCTATTGATTTTCTATAATTTCACTACTAACATTAGTAGAATTGCCCTACAGGACTGCGCACTAAGATAAAAAGAAAATAAGTTGAAATTAGCTAGTAAATGGACAACTAGACATAGACGATGATGGCATATTGCTCAAAGTAGAAGCGTATAAATGATTTTAGAAAATACTACACAATTTAATACAAAACTAACTCATATCTTATTAATAAAAGTTACTATAATATAAAAGATTTTTTTGAAGACAAATGTGACGAGCAAATTTTAATTTAATTTATTTTTACTTATTGTTTTTATATAATCTTTAGTCGCCTTTCATTAAGAATATTTATTTTGACATAATTTTCTCACAACTAAATTATGAGATGTTTTTAATTTTAAATTGTTGTTAATATTATTTTCTCCTCTACATATTGCAATGCCCTTGTAGGGCGTCACATGTATAACTAAAACTTAATTATATCTCATTGTTTGTAATGTGACACGCAATAAATATTTTGATTTGATTTGATATTTTTACTTTATTAATTTTTAAAAGTAAACCAATTATATGATTAATGATTACACGATGCACACATCTAATTGAATATACGTAGTTGAATTTTAGAGGTAGCTCTGTATAAAATTTCCCGATCGAAAACGGACACTGAATCTCTGATATTATTCTAATTGCATATAAAGTTATATAAGTAAAACGACTATAATAATAACCTGAATCTCACATACATTATAATCGGATAGTAGAAGTCTTCTCAAACATTAATAACATAACTTGCATTGTGACTTTCCCATACAGATTAGTCGAATGCCAGTTGTGCTTCTTTATGTAATTAATAAAATTAATTATAACACCCGTTATTTATGGAATTTTTATCAAATACTCTGCCAGAATGAGACTAAAAACTTAAAAAATATCAATTTTTAAAATGACTTATTATTATTTGAATAGACCAGATGAACCTGGAAGAGATCGCTTTTACTGATAAGTCCGTTATTGTGTTTATTTTGTCTTAGTATTGTTTCTTTTTTGTATTTTTTCTCACTTCTAATAATGAAAATAAACTATGAGCGACTTAATTCTAAGTACCTATTTATCATCCTAGGAATATAGTATTGTCGTGAAATTAAATTACGAGGGAAAGTTTATTTACTTTTATTGTGCTCGCGTATCTAATGGAGCCGAAGGAGGTGGACGAAATTAATTTTATTGACACCTTTCATATGAATAATATTACACAACGAAATTTGCTTTCAATTAATAACCAGTATTTATCTTAAGATTTTTAACATTGAATTGGTAGAAGATAGCGACCACATTGACTATTTAAAAGAAAGGGATATACTTTTCTCTCAGTGTTTTCCAAACTTTTGAGTTGTTCCACATCTTTATTATCATTTTTATATTGCCTAGGTATTATGTATTTTAATGGTGGTCTGTTATAAAAGTCTGTAGTACAACCAAGTCATTTATTGTTGAAAAAATTAATTTAAATGATTATTTTTGATCAATTTTACATTAACAATGCTATACATACTACTAATCTACCGGCCCCAGATACCCCGACTCGAATACACAACATATCGTTTAATGAAAACATACCTTTTTTTTTTCTTCACAGTCACGTCTCTCCATCTACATATATATTTTATGTAACATAATTATGTGTGACTCTCGTTCCCACAAATAAATGAAAAAAAAAAATGTTGACCGCTCTAACTAATAATACCGGGGTACCCGAGGACTGACGAATTTTTTAAGCACTTGTTTTTCGTTTCTAGTTAGTAGTAGCTAGTAGATATTCTTTAAATGATTTAATTAAATAGATCATTAGTACATCATGTTACCTATATTCATAGTATTTTAAATGTTAAACTTGGCCAGTCTCTTTGGCGTCTGTCTATCGATCTTCTGGCCTTGTACGATTTAACGGGGTTATGTAACATTTCCTTTGAAGGTCTTTCGTAAATCCTACTATTCAAGAATCTTCTTGGTTAGTAAGCATTTTTTAAATAAAAGTTGGTTATTAAATAAGGATATACTATTTTAAAATATATTGCTCCTTTACTAACAAACTAACTGCAAAAACTATAGCCTATGTTACTCTCGTACGATGTAACTTCCCGTGGTTGTAAGAATTTTCAAAATCGGGCCAATAGTTTCGGAATCTTTCCTCTTTATAAGATTAGTATAGATATCTCTATTTAGAGGTTGCCTGTTAGAGATCGCTGACCAGCGATAAGGCTGCCATTTGTTGTTTTTTCTTTAATATGTTTTTGTTTCTGTTCCTTTAAGTGTGCACTAAAGTTATATTCTTCGAATAATTCAATGAGATTTGTTATTAAAATAAATAAATTTTAGTATCAATATTTTTGTCTAATTTCTTTAAAATATACTCTACCTCTTATGAACTTAAGGGTTATTCCACTTTATTTTTCAACTGACAGTTTTAAAACATGGGATATGATTTCTCGGGGATATATTACAACGTTCCAATTGCGATTGATGTCAACCCCATCGTTTGCTTGTGCGTGTATCGGTGCAGTATAATTGCACAAGTGCGCATGTGTTGATCGCGGGTGGGCGCCAGGGTAGGGTGGCCGACCACCCCTGTTAACGCGACGTGAAAACTTTAGGGCGGTGCTGTGTATTGGACGACGGTCTATTTATAATTATTATTTTCTCTAACTAGTATCCATGGTTTAATAGCAATTTCTTTTTTAATAATATTGAGGTACCAGATGGGTTTCCGACACTGAAAACCTTGACTAATTAAAAGTATCTAAACAAACAAATATTTAATTCGTGTCTTTATTATTAGCGAGGCTCAGTGATTACTTTTCATATTAAAATAACTGAACGAAATGAATGAACTTTCTTTAACTCAAAGTTTGATTTCGTCTACTTTCTCGTATTATTCTATCAGAACGACGATAACATAAGTTTTTTTTAACTATTGGCGTGTTTTCAGTCTGATAATTATTAAGATCGACCGTAAATACTGAACTCCTAAATATTAATTAATAATATTAATAAATATAAATATTTTATCATTTAAAAAGTCATCGGTTTTAAATATGGAAGGATTTCATTCTGATATATCCTGAACCTTTACAACCACTTTGACTAGCGTGCTTACAAAAATGTAAATTCTGTTAACATTGACAAAGACAAATCAAATGTTCACTCCAATACCTGGATAACCTCTACAATATTTTTCCAACTATCGACTCGATAATGCTAATCGAGAGTGGAAGGCTGCGTGCGCCACACTAGCTGGAACCACCACTAGTCGATTCATTTTAGTACGCATTTCAACATATCCGCGCACGGACGTTCGGCTTGTGTTCTGATAAGCCGGCACAAAAATATTTCTTGAAACCGATCACGCGTCGGAAAGAAAAACCGTCCTGATTATTTATTAACCGTAAATATGATTCACAAGTGTATAAGGATTTTTAGTTAAGAGTAACTCGAAAACCTTGGATGTGACATCGTTCTGCTTTCTTCTACTGGAATTTAATTATTTTTCATCACACTAACTACAACTTTTATTGCTATTCTATTTTGTAACATATGTCGTAGTTCCATTAGTTTACATACAAAACTATTAGCTAATCGTTAAACTGTTTAAAAATAGAGTACCTAACGTAATTGCGTGTTTGTAAAATGAGGTCTCGTAAAATCGATTTCGTTTTCAACTACCTATGCTACTGAATGGCAGATTTGTTTGTTTTGTATTGTTTAAAATTTGCGTTCATTCACTTCTCTGTTATGTATAAATCAGTTTTGTAATGCCGATAACATAAATAAGTCAGTCATTGTTCTTACAAATATCTGACACGCAACTTCATTTACAATTTATTAATAGTTTGTTATACTGATCAAACAGGTACGTTCCATTTATAAATCAAAACATAAATCAGATTTCTAACTAAATTTCATTACGATTCATATCAACGCTTCGATTGTTTTCTCTACCACATTGGTACCTATATTCGAATCAAGGAAGAAGTGTTATTTTACTTTAATAAACTCATACTTTCTAATTTTAATCAATTTACCGTTTGTTTAATAAGTTTCAATTCGCATGTTTATAATGTCCGTTGTTTATTTTTGATACAATACATCATTGTTTTGTGAGATTACAGTAGATCAGTATACTTTCATGAATGAGATAGTCACATGAGCATTGTTAATAGTTTTTCGCATTTAGTCCTCGTTTTTGTTTTATTATAATAGGAAATGTATTAATTTCATAAAGGCAATATTATGTCAATCGCATTTAATTTTCACATTTTCAAAATTAAAGCTATAATAAACCTTTTTTTAAAATATAATTTTGAAGTCGTTATGAGAGACATCACTATATTCTGCATCTCATGAAAGCAAAGTAATACAGTATTTTTCTTCCATTGATTTTAAAATGTGTCTTCATCATAGAGTACCCCAGATTTCTATCGCTCGAGCAAATCACTAGTTACTAAAGAAGGTGGAGAATACTGCTTTAAATCAGTCTTAAGATACGCACTAATCTTGTGATTTACTCCAAGTCATACGTTCTTTTCATTCATTAAGTACTGTAATAATCTGATCTTCTCTAATAGTTTTGTCTCAATAATTTCACCGTAAGCAATAAATTCTAGCTTCAAATCTAGTTATTGTGAAAATTCTTTAGAAATAACACTAGCGCTGGCGCATTGCGGCATCGTTAACTTTTTCTTTACTATCCACTGTCTGCATCACCTTTTCTAAATACTTTTGTATATTTACGAAACCGTTGTTTGCTCGGTTTGACACAAAGATCCAATACTGTCAATTTTTATAAGCTTTATCAATATCAATGTTAACAATATGATTGGAATTAAACTAATGCTAATATTGTGAATCGTTATTCTGATAATAACAAAGGTGTTGTCAACTGAATGATCCAAGAGATCAACGACACGCGAACCGCTGTTGAGTAGCGTAGGAGTTGATCTATTTTCATTCTTAGTTTATATTTCTAACTCGTTCTCTCGCAAGAGATACAAATGAAGTCGTTTCACACTTTTTTTTAAATTGTGCAACAATTGGCACGATATTTTTTCCTGTGCATGTGTGCCAAAACACACGTGGATGACCTGAACTGATATAGATGTTTCTTTAATGGAGTTCACGATTAGTTTTTTATTGATATTTGCATATGTTTTATTATGCTGACCTACATTATTAATGGTTAATATTTGATAAAATAGAGCGAAGAAAAATTCTTTGTCAATGTTACGTGGTTTATTTTGTATATTAATTTGTCCTTCCAAGGCTGTCGAGAAATCTTTTTCAGTATTGAATGCGACACATTTTAGTGTTCTTACAGTGCATAGTGTTTGTCAAGAAAAGGTATTTTTATATAGTTTTATTGACTTGTTAAGTATAATAGCTGTGTAAAATAAAATGCTGCTAGTTGCTTCGTTTTAGTGCAGTGAAATGGATTATTCTCATTAGTTTTTCACCGAGTGTATAATGTCGAAAACTTTAAACGCATATAGAATGTAAGTATTTTTCTTCTGTAATTTATTGTTCTTTTAGCATGTTGTGCTAAAAATTGCACTAAATAATTATCTAATTTGAGAAAGGGTGCATTAACTCTTTAGCTCCTTATGTCCTCTTGGTGAACAACGAAATTATACAGGTGTAACGTAATAACTAATACCGATTGTAATTTACTCAATCAAATTCTTGTATTTGCCCCAAAAAACTAACGTAATTGTTATCATTTCTAACATCATTGTTAGGTTTCTTTGAAATTGAAATTATCGCTTATTTTTTTCATATTCGCTGCAAATATTTTTCTTGATAGCGACGTTCATATGTATAAAAGATTTGTATTACCAAATTTGAATCTCAGATCGATAATTATTTTAAAAAATTAACTGACCTGCAAAGGTCAAAGTCATTTTCGGTTGATTGGTTTTAACTCGGTTCAGAATCGAATCATTATAAAACCGGAAACCACGAAGTAGAGTTAACAAGACTGCTTCGAATCACGTAATTATTTCAGTTTTTGATGCCAAATTAATGCTAAAGTTATTATTACCAAGCAAAATTTCTTTATGGTCATTATCTATTAGCTCATTTATTTTCAAGACCATTAATTCGGACCAAATTAAACGCCTGCTTGCTATGAATGATTATCATAATTTATTTGTTACAATAAATACAGTTTTAGTCAGGTGTTAAATTTTTTGTTTAATTTATCATTGGAATTTCTATTTAGATGCCTTTCTTCGAGCATAAGCGTAATTATTACAGCGAAGGAATTGCGACCTTGACCTTTGTGTCCTTTAGGAATTTCATCGTCAGGAAACCTCATACAGGGCTCGAAATAATTTCACGGACGTGGCTTATTCGGCACGCTATTAATCCATCATTATTATTTTAGTAAATATTGCCTTAAAATGGTATGGATGGAAGTGTACATGGTAATTTGAGAGATGTCAGCGAACTCAATATCTAAAATTCATAGGCAGTCGGTTTTATTGCTGTCCGCTAGTTTCCTTTGTGTAGTCTAGACGCATCGATTGGGTAGCTTCAGACCCTTACATGGCCGATAGTATAATTGCATTAAAGTTAATAGTAGGTATTTTATGTGACTCATTCGTTTAACTCCTCTCCCCGCCAGATAATACTACTTTTATTTTCTCCGTGATGTGAAAAATGAGTCAGTCAGTTATTTATCGATTGTAATAAGAAATTATGCCTTTTCATTTGGTTTCGTTGTGTCCAATTTTCATGAAATGGTTCTACGACTCATCGTAGTTTGCTCTTTCAACCATTCGAGTTGTGATGGCAGTTTAAGGATTATTATAGTTTAATGTCTTTATTTGCATAATATTCTCTTGGATTTATGAGTTTAGAGGGTGCCAGTATGCACGTCTTCATGACATAACTACTTTTATAATATTAAAAACTTCTATTTAAAATTCTTTAATTTTGTGAAAATAATGTTCCTTTCTAACATATTACACTATCCTGTTGCTTTGTAGAATTGGCACGTGTCCAAGAGAAACTTTCTACCTAGCGGTATCAGAAGATTTCGCCAAAAAAGGGATCTCTTATGTCCCATGTATATGCTTTTACTCGGACCTTTTGAGATTACATATTTTGGGATTCCACACATCAAAAGGAAAAATTAGAGTTTGTCGTAGTTGATATTTTCTCCGTAAATGCTGGACCGATTTGCACACATTACAATTTAGTATTATTAGGAGTCCCTTGTTTTTAAAATTCAATATTTGTGTAGGACCTTCGTTGAGTACCTAAGTGCTCTGCTCCTAGATGGTTTTTTATTTCGTTTTAGATTTACCATAACTATATGTCGTTTACATTTTTTTTTAAACTGCCCTTTAGTGTAGTGTTGATTGATAAATGAGGCTTTCAGTTTATTGTATTATGTATGATAAGCTTAAGAAATTAGTCAAGTAGACACAAATATGAGACCTAATTTTCCTGTCCTTCCTTCCTTTCGCCAGACAACATATACTTATAGTAGGTACTTTCGCATAATGTAGGGAGGTCTCGCTCTTGGTTGCCATGGGAACGGGTGTTTTAAATGTGCCTCGCGTCGTTCATTTTTCCCCTACTAGGGAGGAGGGGTTGAAACGAATTTAGCTAGGTTGCCACAGTTACTGAAAATCGTATAAAGAATCGTAGTCGATCTCCCCGCAGCTTCGATCAGGCCTTTTGATTAGAAAGGCGTATATTTAATATGTGTTTATAGGAAAATATTTTTGAATAAATGTTTAAATATATCCACTTTGTATTAGAATAATTCTTCATCTTTTTCGAAAGATCGTTGTAGAAATATTTATTTCTGTTTGTGTGGATTGCCTGAACATTGATGGAAACACTCTGTAGTAGCGAAAAAGTAACTAGTTCTTGAAAAATTCGTCAATCCTGTGTAGTTCAGTGGTTAGAGCAGTCGCCCGGAATGCGAAGTCATGGGTTCGAGCCCCATCTCAGAGTGCCAGGGACAAATTGGATTTTTAAGCATTAAGAATATGAAGAATATATTTTTTTAACATTAAGAATATTTTTCAGTATGGCATTGTGAATGGAAAATTGATTAAATATAATAAGGTTTTTTATTTAATTTTAGTTTTAGTACGACAATAGTTTTATTTATTTTGGTATTTATATAATTATGATCCCTTATCTAAGAACGGACACTAATATCGATTCTATTAACTAAACGTTGCGTTCTATCTCGCGTGTATTTCGTTTACATGTAGTTTGCCGTGACATTGAAGAAAGGCCATTCGTATTATATTCCTACTTCTCTAATACCTTTACAGAAATTTTCATTTAAGTTGTGATAAATGTGTCTATTGATCCTATTAATTTTGGAAAAAACAAAAACTGCGAGTTGTCCTTTTTGTAGGACGAATACATTGCTAGCTTAACTGTTTTGAATTTACATGCTCTGCGACCTGCGAATCACGTGTAGAATTTATAAAATCTATTTACATTTTGATTGGTGGTGCGAATAAATTAAATAAGTAACACAGGAAATTCTAAAATGGTTTCTTCCAAATTAGTGGAGCCATTTATTATTTTTGCAGCTACACGCATGTCACACATACCTTCACGTTAAGTAGGGTAATGTTTATTTTGTATATGGTTGTAGAAATATGTATACGGAATGTTTATAATTTCAAAAATTCAAATAATCTAGATAATTATCCTATGAAATTATTGTAGCTTGCTGAATCGCATTGATCATACTACGTCCTTTACATAAGTTCGTTAAAATAATGGTGCTACAGAAATCTTTAACTAATAAAGGATATCCTTTGAGCACTATAGGTCTCACGATACCAGGATATCAGATGCCTGTAGTGTACACATCGACCGTACACCATCCGTTCGTATATTCTCACGGGTGGTGCCTACAGGGAATCGTGTTGTATCTAGATCGACGCTCCCTTCTTTCGCAACATCCATCAGTTCCGTCCTGTTAAGTTTCTTTTGACAGTGAATTCAAAATTTCCGATTTGTAAAACGTGTAATGGTTTGTTGTCTTGTTGTCTGTTTACAGCATCATCTAATTAGATTGCCTGCTACAATTCTTTGTAGATTAAACAATAACGCCTAAAAGAAGTATAATCGCCGATATTATCAAATATATTTCGTGGGTATTATGATAAGTTTATGTTAGTTCAGTAACCGTCTTAATTAATTTTTTTGACAATGTGAAATGCATACAGCTTCTCTAGGTAGAGAAGTTGTGAGGGTGGCTTTCTGTGGATATTTTCGAGCGGTTCGTCTTCATTTAGGTCCCTTTTCGGGGTTCCCTCAGCGGGTTCGGTGTAAAGTTCAGGAACGATTGAGTCTTACCCCTTCCTACAGGATGAAGACGTGCAGTACCACGTCGGAGCGCAAATTCTGTGTTAGCTTCAACCTATTTAATGATAATTTTAAAATAGTGCTTCTAAATGTTAAAAAACGATATCGCTTACTTCGAACAACATATTATTGATCGAAGCACGCTTATACATAATAATGACAACAAACGCCTAAAAGAAGTATAACCGCCGATATTATCAAATATATTTCGTGGGTATTATGATAAGTTTGTGTCAGTTCAGTAACCGTCTTACCGCTACGTTTTATATTGATATGTGTATCTATTTTTGCCATTTATTTATTCTAATCTACTCTAATGTTTGTACTTTCACAAAGACTATTCATCTATTTTGTTATCATAGATATCTACAATGTTTCTGCTTATCATTTAGTTTTAGAGAGGTTTCTTTTATACAATCACTCGTCTAACGTCTCACTATCATTAGTTTTGCTGTCAGAAAAGATTTCATCTCGAAAATATACACTTTGTAACAACTTTATGTGAAGCATAGCTTACCAAGATAGATTGATTTTATCCGAGAGAGAAAAGTAGACCTCACCGTGTCGACTTTCTCTATTGTAATTTTATTGGCAATTAAGCGCTTTATTAACTTGCATAACTCTTTCTTCTTTGTTTGATTGACTTTTTTTAATTCTATTGTTACTGTACAATAAAAATAATAACAATTATAGATTAAAATCTATGATTTATCTACAAAAAACAACTTCACAAAACGCATATTTAGAATTGAAACAAAGTAATCTTAATAATTATTAGATACTGTATGATGTAAAACGAGATCATGCTGGTGTTACATCAATTTAAAATGAGTATCTTACAAAGAATTAGAATTCCAAATAGCATTGTGTTTTTTATTATATCAATTATCATTACAATTTTATTAGGTTATATTTTTTAATGTTCCACAACACCTGATTTCAATCTGGATATTACTTGTTAACAGAAAGAAGATCGAGTCTTTAGGCAGGATGACGGCGATGACGCAGGAGGAGATGGTGGCCGGCGCTAGGACAGTGGCCGCCGGCCTCGAGGCCCTGAGGGCGGAACACGCGCAATTGCTAGCCGGCCTCGCAGCCAACACTGACCACGAGCACGAGAAGGCCGCGCTCGTCAAGAAGAGCATCGATGCTATTGAATTAGGTCTCGGTGAAGCACAGGTTGGTGACTTATTTTAATATTTTTTGAATTCGTCTCTGCTATTTTCACAACTTCACGACACACATATTTTTTGACGACGTGAACTTCCCTTCCTAGAAAATTCCCTGTATAGCTGTGTAGGGGCCTCTTGCGTACCCATTTCTATGTATGCGGGTTCGGTGTAAAGTTCAGGAACGTTTGAGTCTTAACCCCCCCCCCCCCCCCTTTCTCTACAGGATGAAGATGTGCACGTCGGCGTACAAATTCGATGTTAGCTTTTGATCGCGTAAATTCAGAGACTCAATTCCCGCTTCAAGTTTAGTACCTATTTAATGTTAATAGTGTTTCCAAATTTTATAAAAAAGGATATCACTCACTTCGACCAACATATTCTTGATCGAAGCACGCTTATACATAATGACAACAAAGTATTCATTTGATATGTGACTGCTGACTTTTAGGCTAGGTAGCAATATGTATATGATGTAACGTCTTCAGGATTTTTAAGGAATTATAGAAACTCAATGAATTTAAAAAAATCGAATTCTATACTTATAAGTATAATTATTACCTATTCTTTACAGTGACATCATATTATGCAAATATTTATAGTAGCGTTGTGTCAACGAATTGTGATGTTTATCATCTGTGCCTCTCGTCTCGACCTTCCATAGAATATTTTCCCTATTTGTTAAAATTCTTCACGTGTCTCGCATGTGCCATGGATAATCAACATAACGTGATCGTGTGTGGTTAGCGCCGCGGGCTATTAGACGCATGGTCTGAAAATGTGCCTAGATAGATTACAGAGAATTGTATTACTCGTAAATATCTGCAATAAATATGGCTTTGCGGTCGAAGATGCTACATTGCTCTGTGATACAATTTTTGTATATGGATGATTTTTTTGACATCAGATTGTTTAGATCTCAAATGTATAATAACTCTCGAGTCAACGAGAAGTATCACTATACGAGTCCATATTTGCGAACCTAACCTCCAAAAATGGTGACACTTTAAATCAGTTTATGGGTCACTCGAACAAGTTACTTAAATCTTTTTTACATTTTAAAAATCACTTATTTCATCAAAATCAAATGTATAATTGTATGTTTTAAGGATACACTGTAAATAATACAATGTCCCAATTTAGATAACTAACCAATTGAAATAATATAATAATTCTGGGTTATGTATGAATGAATGAATGAATGAATGAATGAATGAATGAATACTTTTATTGTACACCATAATTAAACAAAAGGAGAATCGATACAATTTAGTGGTACAATCGGCGGCCTTATCGCTAAAAAGCAATTTCTTCCAGGCAACCGCAGGTTAGACTGGACTTACTTAAGTAGGTGGGCAGTAGATGGTGTCTTACATGGCGAGAAAACATGTTTTCATATATAAACATACATACATACACACAAGCTCATACATAAATATACATACATAAATATGCATATATACATAAAATAATAATAATATCATAATAAATATAACAGTACCTAAAAAAGTATACAGTAGAAGTAGGATGAAAACGATAGCGTATTATACTTGAAGTGATAAATAATATTCTCTTAACATCTTCTTAAAGCAGTGCAGTGATGGAGCGCGCATTATTTCTTCCGGCAATGCATTCCACAAGCGAACAGCCTGAACTGCGAATGACTTATCAAGGAATTTTGTGGAATGCATCGGCATCTGTAATTTTAAGCTCTCTGATGATCTCAACGCGCGAGAGTGTGAATCGCGAAGGAACTTGAAGCGTTCCTTAAGATAAGTTGGAGAGAAAGGATTGAACAGAATATTGTAAAGCAGGGAAACAATATGCGCATTCCGACGAAAACGAATTGGCAACCACTTGAGCTTAGTGCGAAAATCAGATATATGATCATATTTGCGCAACCCAAATATGAATCTAATACAAAAATTTTGGAGTCTCTCAAGTTTATTTAATTGCTCCTCAGTTAAATCTAGATAGCTGACATCAGAGTAATCCAGAATTGGAAGAAGAAGGGATTGTGCGAGCGCAATTTTAGTGGCCACAAGCGCAATTTTATGTATTGCGTTTTCACACACTAATTTCTTTTTAATAATATTATATTATGTATCATCAAGCGCGCCTCTTTATATATGCAAATTACTTCTATACTTTATTCCGATAAATTAAAAAGTAAACGCGGAATAAAAGTAACTGCCTCATTAAAGTAACTATGTGACCCTTACTAGTTTTCCGTTATGCCTTTTTGCTGTAGAAAAGAGATCTATATACTAAGTTGTTAAGGTTCTTTTTAAGGGCAATATCTTAGCCCTTATAAACATGCGGCTGTCCTAGATTCTTTGAATGACTCGCCAGAAAAACTTCATTTAGGTCATTTGAATGAAAACCTTAAAAACCATATCTACAGCAAACAGTTTTTATTCATTTGCGAATGTACTTTTCTTTTAGGTTCTACATTATGTATTTAAAATATTAATTATTTAGGCGCATTACCCGAAAGTAATCTTAACAGAATAACATTAATTAATTTTCCGATTTTTCTATTAGATTGGGAAACTCTTCGCATATAGTATGCATAAACTTTTAATAAAATATTTCTGGCTATAGTTATACCATTTGTATCTGGATACGGTATCATTAAAAAGTTTTAAAGAAGATATGATTTTCATTAAATTTTTGATTTTATTAAATTTTTCATGTGTTTTTCTTACTGTCATAATTTTTTTATTTATCGACTTTTATGGATCTAGTGCAGTTTCTGTGAAAGTAGTACAAATTTGGTTTAAGCTTTTTCAGTTCGGAAATTTAGATGTCAAAGAAGCCACGCTGGTCGCCGTATTACGGATATAATGGATTTTTTTTAAAGATATTTTTTTTAAAGTGAAGAGAAAAAAGTTGAAAGCGGCCAGAATAAATCAAGGTGTGGTTTTCGTTATGATAACGCTAGACCTCGCACATCTTTTGCCACTCAGCAAAAAGCGTTTGCCTGGGAGTTGTTAATGCATCCGCCGTATAGTCCTGACCTTTCACCTTCAGATCACACGAGGTCTGTCATAATCACTTGTCGCTGTTTTTTGATCAGAAGCCCCAAAATTTCTGTAGCAATGGGCAATCATGCCCCTACCTACAAGATGGCAAAAAGTTATCGAACAAAATGGTATCTACATACTTTAGTTATATGTAAATAAACTTTATTAAAAATCTTTTGAAATTCATATCGACGCTGGAAAGCAAACACGTAGTAACCTGCAAAACCAAAATGGATATTTATAATGGAAAATCTTTAGATTTTTTCAAAAAAATATGTCTTATTTCTGTATAAATTGACTAAGGAACATCTTATTTGTTACCATGGACGTTTATAGGAATTATTTATCGAAAAAAATCAAAGTTTTTCTGCTTTGAAGATCAATTTTGGTTTTGCGGGTTACTACGTGTTTGCTTTCCAGCGTCGATATAAAATGCGAAGAAACTTTATCCCCAACCTATTATTTAGTAAGGCATTATAATTTTTAAGAACATATCGACGCTGGAAAGCAAACACGTAGTAACCCGCAAAAGCAAAATGGATATTTAAAGTGGAAAAAAAATCTTATTTCCGTATAAATTGACTAAGGAACAAATGCTCTGTTCTGAAGAACAATTTTGGTTTTGCGGGTAATTACGTGTTTGCTTTCCAGCGTGTTAGCTATGTCTAGCTAGTTACGCGTCTAAAATAAACAAGGGGAAGAGTTGCGACAGATTGTCTGGCTTCATTAAGTTGCTCAAAGAATAACAATTGAGTGGTAGTACTCCATTATGGTACGGCGTCATAAAAGTAGACTTCGTCACAAAAGCGTACGCCCTCCTTTGTGACAAGAGTGACGAGGAGTACTTACGCATACAGACCTTTACTATTGTATCTATGCTTATTATGTAAAGGTTGAAAAATCTGGAAACATTTGTTCAAGCAATTTGATCCTTATCAATTGTGATTTTAAAATTGGCTAACCCGAATGTGCAAATTAGCTGGAATAGTAGGTACTTTAATTAAAATATAGTCATTCACAGCCTCATTGGTTAATCGAGAGTTTATATCGTCCCACTAATATTAACTGTTATTAATGTATGCATAGCACAGATCCCAAATTAAGTTGTTAAAGTATTTTTATTATGGAAATCTGAAAGAACGAAGGTACCCTAAAATTCATCTCCTAGTTAGTATTGAATTATCTATTTTGAATCCTTTGAGATGGCTACACCTTGAAAATGGTGCACGTGCCACTCGACCACGTATGTAGGTCAGGTATCCCTCATCACCAGCTTAAATGACCTCACTGCAGGGACTCAGACCTTCCCTATGTACGTGGGCCACCATGTGGTGCGGATTAGTTGGTATTAATTAATGCAGCCGCGACCAATGGCTTGACTTGGCTTCCAAAGCACGGAGAAGCTCGAGTAAATAATTTTTTTGGCCACCCAAGCTATGACCAGCCTTTGCGAAAGTTGCTTAATATCCGTATTGCAAACCGTGCGATACGGTTGTTAAGCCATCGCCCTCCTCCTCGAAGTATCCCTATGATGGACTAAAATGAACACAAGGTATATAACCTAACTAATAGAATTCACAGGATCTAAGAAATTATTTTATTTGGTTTAGATTTATTACACTTTATTCCTCAACGTCTTATTTTTTTTACTAAATAAGGCTTTAACACCAGCCTATAGGCTATAAAATGTAACTTTGCTTCTCAGGTGATGATGACCCTGGCCTCCCATCTTCAATTGGTCGAGGCAGAGAAACAAAAGCTACGGACACAAGTCCGTCGGCTGTGTCAGGAGAATGCTTGGCTTCGGGATGAGTTGGCGGCGGCGCAACAACGCCTGCAAGCCTCCGAACAGAGGGTAGCTCAGCTCGAGGAGGAGAATAAGCATCTGCAGTTTATGGCTTCTATCCGGTGAGTGATATAGTCATAAAGTTCAATCTTTTTGACGTTTATCTAATTAAAAATATTAAGCCTTTATAACTATAAGGAAAGTAAGAGACGTTTCGAAATATAAGCTCCTATAAAATAGTTCTTGAAGCACTTCTCAACCAACTCATGAACATCATAAGTATGATAAATTTTAAGAAATTTCAGTTTAGTAGTCCTCAACAATTGCTGCTGACTACATATTCAACGTATCAAATCTTGTTTCAGCAAATACGACAGTGATGTCACAGAAGAGTCTGAGAGCAATCGCGGTGGCCAAGGCGAGAGTAAACGCGACGACCCCATGGTTGATCTATTCCCAGATGATGACCATGAAGACAATAGGAATAACAAATGTGAGTTTAGCCCACATTAAAAAATAACGTTATTAAGAGCAGCTTAAAGCAATTTTTATTGTTCTCTTTATTAAGTATGCAAGTTACAACGATGTGTTAGGTTAACGAGTGCAATAGAGTTGTGTCCTACAAGTAAAAATATAGGTTTCTGTTAAATGTTCGGAAAAATATGAACTATTTTAACAATTTGGTAAATAAAGTATAATACTTTGAAAATTTAAAAGTAGGGAAAATATATTACAAAAATACGCTTACATAAAACGTAGCATCTTTCATTATAACAGCTATAAACAAAAACGCACAAATAACAAAGATATTAGAAAGATTGCCCGGACACCTATACTTATTTCGCTAGCGTCAATAGCACTGTATGACGTCACTTAGTGGCTTGAATTTGTAGAGAGCGTTTTCGGCCAACTATCAACAATTCCACAAACATAGCACCGTATCTCCGAAACTATTAATCGCAGACATGTTGTTATTTCTACTTTCCTTCTCAGATATTGGATTATTTATTTATATAATTAAAAAAAAATGTCAACTAGCCTATTATTTGTTTATCGCGCACAAAGACCGAGATAACCAAAAACTAACACCGGCATCTCTATTATTGTAGGTATGTAAAGGATAATTTGCTTATCACCGCAAGTATTTTGTTTTTATATTTTAATATTAAATCCTATAGGGATTACTTGAGGTGCTCAATGGCGAAGTGTTTAGCGCTGTCGGTGTGCGATACGGAAGTTACGAAATTTTCGCAAGGTCCGGTTATAGTATGGATAAGATAAAATTGAGTTATTGCGAGCTCCTCCGTACTTTCGAAGGCATGTTACGTCCCAGACGCATTTGCATTGCTAATACTGTTCCCTATTCGATTCCATTCATAGGAAAGGCCTGTGCCTTAGTGATTCATTGATTTATTTTTTTAGGACAATTAGTAACGGATACAATAATCCAAGCTTAAAATATTTAGCTATAACAATATAAAGTTTAGAGTTCTGTTCTGTTTAGATGTCATAGTATTTGTTTAAAAAGAAATAGACTAAGTGGTTAGTTAATATAACAATTTAACAGCAAGTAATTCATAATATCAATTACTGAACAAGATTCCTCGAAGTGGGGTCGTTAATGTACTGACGATGATTATCTTTAACTTCAGCCATGTCGCCCACGCCACCATCTCAGTTCGCTCAGCAAGTGAATGCTGGTTATGAGATACCCGCTAGGCTGCGAACCTTGCACAATTTGGTGATCCAGTATGCGTCACAAGGACGCTACGAAGTCGCAGTGCCACTTTGCAAGCAAGCTCTTGAAGATCTGGAGAAAACCTCGGGCCATGATCATCCCGACGTTGCTACAATGCTCAACATATTGGCTTTGGTTTACAGGTAAGTGTGTGTAGACACATTAAGATGTTATGTTGTATGTTATAATGTGACTTTGTGCGTCATAATGTAATACTGTATGTCATAATTTTGTCATAACATGATGATCAAAAAAATTCAGTATAAAGTTGCTCACAAATGTAACAGAGCCGAAGGAGGTGGACGAAAGTAATTTTCTTTATACCTCACTAGCTTTATTTACTCCTCTGTAAACAGCTTAAATAATTTTATAATTGATCACATTGTGATACGGATTTAATTACAATGAAAAATTGAATCGTAAACAATAGCTGCTGCGCTGGTAACGTTTTAATTCCCTATACAAACTTCTACTCCCATTAAGGGATGAATCTTTTATTTGCAACACTTTTTTCGGGATAAAATATAGTTTACGTTCACTGCATATTATATAGCTTCCCGTTGGTGAAAGAATAACACTTTATTTTTGGATATGGTGATGAAAATTTTTAATATTTAGTTTGTTCTTTTACAGAGACCAAAATAAATATAAAGAAGCGGCAAACTTGTTGAATGATGCATTGTCTATTCGTGAAAAAACTCTCGGAGAGAACCATCCCGCTGTCGCTGCGACTCTCAATAACCTGGCTGTGCTCTATGGGAAACGAGGTAGTTTAGTTTATTGTTGAGTGGTTCAATATTCCTCTTCACTGCACAGTTAATGAACTAAATAACTAAAATTTTACGATTTTTTTTAATAATTTTAATTTAATCCTGATAAAGACTTATTGTCAATTGCTACATGTATTTTAAATTACAATATAAACGACGATGACACATTACTGACAGTTAGTGATGCCCGTAATATAATCGTGATTTGCGTGGTAGTCGATATATTCATCTAATTGAACACAAAAGGGATCTTTATTTGGCAGTCTATCGTAATAGTTTTTGCGGCTTAATCTTCGCAAACTGCATGCTTGTAATGAGATAAGAAATAAAGTTGATTTGAAGTAGTGGCGGTGTAAAAGTTAAGACATGCTTCGAAAATGCGGAAATGTCTAGACCCTATAACGTGACAAAGAAAGGATGGGCCAAGATCTTTCCAACCATACTTTTCAACATCACTGATCATCCTGATGATAAAACTGGCGAGCATATTTGAAAAGTAATTATCAGAGAGCACAAAAACGAGAATTTCATGGGCTCATCTAGAGATATCTTCCGGTAGGGCCTCCGATCACCATTCATTTTTATATATTTGTATTCTGTCAAATTATTCGGTTTTGGTAGCGAATATATTCTGTTTGAGAATTTCTATTGTCTTATTTACACAACATGGTATGGTACTAAAAGAAAAAACTTTGAAAATTAAATTTATTTTTAGATTTCAACTTATTATATGATATAAGTTGGTATTTTCATATCAGTAATATATAAAAAGTTGTCTACACCTGTATTCTATTTGTACATTGTTCTGTTACAGGCAAGTATCGTGAGGCGGAGCCGCTGTGTAAGCGTGCATTATGCATACGCGAGGCCGTACTCGGCCGTGACCATCCCGACGTGGCCAAACAACTGAACAATCTCGCGCTACTCTGTCAGAATCAGGTCAGTACACATATATATCAAATTAAAATAAATCAGTACATATTTATTTAAAAAGGTAAATATTATAAAAGATAAATAACAAGGCAGTGACCGCCTAATACTCGTTGATGGATGGAGTATGAGCTAAATATGAATTGTAGCTTAAGTCGAAAGTACATGAAGCTTTTTACTTTACGAGCATCTACGGAAATTGTACAGAGTCCAACTTTTTAATTACCTCGTGTCTTGACTATAAAATAAACAAAACTTGTAAATAGGTTTTTACATTTATTAGAAAAATAGAATTAAAATAATTTTGGGGTTTATACACCACTCCCCGTCACCAGCTTTAACTAAGTTCATTCGACTTTCGATGCAGCTAAAGGCGTCCTGAAACGGTAGTTAAAAAAAAGTTTGACGATTCATAAGCACTTTTTATAAATGTATTTGAATAAAGATAATTTTGATTTTGACACTTTTAAATTTAGTAAATTTTAATATAATTCAGAAAACGTGTAACAACCTAAATTAAATGTGTATATTATAAAACAAGAACATTATAAAATAAAGATATTCATCGATAAAATAACATGTTTTATGTTGCTAGAGATATAGTGAGAGATTAGGCAATTATTAGTGAACTAATCAAAGTGATTCAAGTAGTACGTCATCATCCGCACTCGTCCTGAGTATGAGTGAGACGGATACCAAGTGCACTATATTTTACAATTTTAAAAGTTTGAAACAACAAGAAATTTATTTTATAGCGATAGCTATATTATGACGGTGTAGCGCGATGTAACCTGCCATGGCGGTGTAGCGCGTCCGGCATGTTCTTCGACAATAGGGTTGATGATTTTTTTGCAATTATGAGAAAAAGGGCTGCCGCTTTCAAAGACAGAATCAGAAATACCAATAATAAAATCTTACTATCAATCTATGACTCATGTAAAATGATTATATGTGATTTATGAGCGATTCTATAGAATGTATTAATTTAATGTTTTATTTATGTTGTTTTTAATTTGATTTTTAATTTTTTTAATATGATCTTTAATTAATCTTCGCGGCATTTAGATATGACGATGATTTAATGTATTTTAGATAATTGTAATGAATTTACTTATTATTATTATTATTTGTTTATATTTTGATTTTAAAATTTATTGCATGTTTTAATTTTCAATTTTATTTATTTGTATAAACTAAATTTTAATTTGTGTATATGAGTGTTAATGCTTGTAATAAATGGAATAAATAAAAAAAAATAAAATAAAAAAAATAGCGATGACCAAAGGACAGCATACTCGTATGTCACTGATCATAACAAACTGTTGTGGCATATAACTATGCTGTTTTTTGGTCATCGTTATTATAATATAACTATAAAATAAATTTAATAATTGCGATAACATGAACAACCACTGCCACTGTCATGTTTATATGTGGTATATTATTTTTCTCTTTTGGTTTATAAATTTGTGCTTCATAGTGATTAAGAGCATTTTAGACTCGAGGCACATTATGGGAAACATCATTTTTCTTTGTTTTTTTTTTCCTATGTTGTATTTTATTACAAGCTAAGAATATAATGCATTTTAAAAAATCTTATTACATTCATTTAAATTTATTTTTTGTTTGTTACGGCAGTAATTGTTATAGGTGACCACAAATTGATTGATTTCAAATACATTTAGCAAAAAATACCTTTATTAGAAATCGTTGAAATCAAATCAGAATCGGATTTTAAACAAATTACTTTCAGGATGTGCTTGAATTATGTTACATGTTGTATATATTTAAAATGTGCTAATTAAGCCCCATTTATTTAATACCCTACACGGAATGATTTTTTTTTAGTTTCTCACTTTATACTATCTAGAGGGCGCTGTTGCTAATTCAAAGTAACGTCACATAGCCTCATTCACAATTTCATTTGTCCATTTACGATGAGTAGTTTCGAAGTTATAAGGGAACAGATGAACATTGTTACATACATTCATACCTGCCAAAATCATAACCCTCTTTTTCGCTTCGCTGTAGTTGGGTAAAAAAGACTTAAATTGCTAACTGTTGAATAAAGCTAAATTTTCCTACACGACTTATTATTTATTGTAAGTTGTATTAATAAGAACGTTTTATTCTTTATTATATCCCTTTAAATATATGAATGAAACCGAATAAAAATATTTTACCCAACAGAATAAATATGAGGAAGTGGAACAATACTACCAGCGTGCACTAGAGATTTACGAGAGCAAGCTTGGACCGGACGATCCTAACGTTGCCAAGACAAAGAATAATCTCGCTTCTTGCTATCTCAAGCAGGTAGGATAATAAAGAGTATTCAATATTTAATGCATATTTATATAATTCGATGTAAGCATAGTTTTGTGAGAGATTCGCAGATCGCCATGTTTTTTTTCTATACTAATATTATGAAGAGAAAAGATTTTTGTTTGTCTGCATTGAGAATTTTTTATTGCTCCGACACTAATCGACCCATTTAAAAATCCTTCACCTACGAGAATCTAGTGGGTGACATAAGTTATAATTTACACGGGCAAGTCACCGAAAAACACCTAGTTTTATGATTAAAATAATTAATTTTGTTTATAGGGCAAGTACAAAGAAGCAGAGACATTATACAAACAGGTGCTGACACGAGCTCACGAAAGAGAATTCGGAACTATTGATGGTAAGTAATTTGTTTTACGCAATGTTTATGTAAATACTTTACATTTAGAAAACCAGGGATTGTAGTAGAATAGGATTACTTTTATTTACACTTCGATAGTTATTTTGATATGAATTTTCAATAAACTGCTTCAGAACTAGTTTTTGAGAATACTTTTAGGTTTATTTTTTCTTTGCATCCTGTTCTACCCCTAATATGCAATATATTAATTACGCAATAAGATTGAACCCACTAACAAAAACGTTAGAAAACTAATGAAGCGTCAGTACAACATATCTTGGTTGAGGGTATAAGTCTAATGTATAAAAACACCTAACCTTTAATCGACTTACTAAAATAAAACTTTTTTTTTCAATAATATACTATTGATTAAATTTTTTTTTTGTTTCATATATTTTTTATTTGCTCTCGACCATCATTTTTCTGTTTACCGTTTCAGAATATATAGCGTCATTAAAAAAACCAAAAAAATAACAAACACTCCGCACCTACTGTATAGTTGTAAGTCTTCAAATGGAGAGTTGCAGTTACTACATTCCTTTACCGTAACGGCAGCTGAAGCAAACGTTTGCTCAAACTTTCTATGTATACTAGTTAAGGCAGGAGGATGACAAACACGTTAAGATAATAATAGAAACTCGCTTGTATATTTAAATGAAAACTCACGTTGCTTGAAATTAGAAGAAGATAATGGCATACCCGAGGGTTTGCCCGGTTTGTTCAGAATAGAAATTTGGAAATAAAATATAATACTGTTCTTACGACTTTATTATATTAGTGCTGATTATCTGCGCATTAGATAAAGTTCCAGGCCAATCCCCTTTGTTTCATAAATTTCTAATGATGAAATTTTTATGAAACCGTTTGTTCTTGGTTCTAAGCGAAACGGAACAGGCCATCTGTTTAGTTAAATAATATAGAACTTGAAATTATCTGAATTCTAAAGGTGCTTATTCTTATTTCAATAACGTTATGCTTGTCTTCCTTAGTAAGAGCTATGAATATACTTAATTTCACTGTGAGTGTTCTAATCATAATTATTCATTTTTAATTAATAGAAAAAAATATAGTTTTTTTCTGATATTTTATCGTTTGTTTGTCATTTGATAGTATTAAATGATAGCGCAGTAATCCACATCATATTATTACCTAAGCACAAATTCCGAAAGAGTTTTTTTTTTAATAACAAACAAGCTTTATTATTCTAATTAGTTTAGCAGACACCAATGGAAGCATTTTTATTTTATTTATTGAAATTGATTTGCAATGCTTCTCTTTTGCAGTTAGAATATTAATATTTGTATTTAAAGGTAAAAATAAAAAAAAAAAAACTTGCCTAAGTAGTGAAGATTAAGTGTAGTGCATTAGTATTTTTTTTATATTTTAGTCTTTTAAAATAATGAAATAATATGAGTTAAATCTATTTTAACATAACACCTATTAATTACAGGAAAATTTGAAAGTGCAATAGTTTTGAAATTATATAATTTGTTATAAAATAGCTTTTTATAATACGCCGTTGTTGAGCCTTGTTATATTATGTTTCATACTTGCCAAGTCTAATGTTTAAATCTTTGCTTGTGTTGATAGTAAAAAAGTGGTGGCAATTATTGGAATATATATATAGATTTTATATAGCGCAATCTGTGATTAATGTATTTCATTTGGCATATATTGCGGTGTGATGTATATTTAAGTCATCAGTATTTTGTATAATCGTCTGATTTTGCGTATCGCACTGTCAAGTTGGCGGTAAGTAAGCACTTATTGCTTTCTGACATTTTCATTATTATAGGCAAAACCCAATTTTTTTCCATTTTGATTCTATTCGTTAATATTCTAAAATAAATACAGTGATCTTTATTTGGATCGGTTGTGTGAAATTCCAATATGTAGTTCGATACAATCTTATAACATCAAGATTACTTACGTTTACTTTTTTAAATAAGATTATACATAATTTATTCGTATGTTATCTCATATTCCACTACTACAATCGATGTTTTGTATATCTATTATGAAAATAAGACTACTTCTGAAAGCTAATTATACTAAAATAGGTTATTATATTTTCATTTTCAAAGGTGAATAATTATTTAAGTTACTACCATTGTTTATCGCCAACTTGACTGGTGTGGAGTTAAAATCATCTCTATGTGTTTACCGTTATAATACTAAATAGGTTTATTACAATGCATGTTCCTAGGTAGCAGGTAGAAAAAATGTATATAAAAATATAGAGGCTTCTCAAAATTGAATGCGGGCTTGGTTAACATTAGTAAGGTGTCTACTTATTGAATAGACTCAGAAACTCAACAAAAACTTATGAAATAAAGTAATTTGCTTTGTAGTTAAAAATTTGTATGGAAATTATCTAATGGGATTTTTTACTATTTTTGGTCATTAGATAAGATAAAGCCTCTAAAATCGATGTTCATGAAAAAATAACTAAAATATTTTTTTACCATGTTACATGTTTTGTTTGGAACAGTTTGATAAAATAAGATTTACTGAAAAGTAAATAGTCAATCATGCTGCGACTTAGGTTCAACTCTAAACAGAATTTTCCAAGTGATTTTTATAAGTGTGAAGAATAAGATATTAGCTATTTCATGAGTAGACACCGAGGTTAGTAAAATAAACCTAGGTTAGGGTCAATGTTATAATTACGGTGCCGCGTATATAAATATCGTGGACCTTATAAAACGAAGTGCCTTCCTTGTCTACGACATTCACGAAGAACGTGGTACATTTTTATATAACAATGTATTATTTTAGAATATTTTTTTTTAAATAATTAATAATGTGTTTTAATAAAATCTATCAAGAAAAAGCGGTTAGTTAGCAAAAATTAAATTACAGAGCCATAACACGATAACGTTAATTAAATTTGTTATGTTTTTTGTATTCAGTATAGGCATCTGTTTTAGAAATGAAATAATTTTGGAACAGCTCAAAAATACGTGCCCTTAACGCCCTTTTTGTATACATCTCTGATTGTCCTAAGACTTTGATTCATTTGACCAAATCCCTGAATGATAGGTAAATGTATTAAATTTGTTGCTTTAAAAGTTTAAATATGTTTAATAAGTAGAAAAATGTATCCTTTATTTCAGTGTGGATTAAGAATAAATTACATTTTAGGTGTAGGGATAATATCGAATAATTAACTTTATAAAAGTTTAAAACTAATGAATGATTCAATGTGTGATATATATAATGTTTATTTTTTCATAGGTCACTAATTTTAGCTTATGATGGATTTTATTTAGACCTATAAGATCTCTAACATGTTGCATTTTGAATAATATTATTTTGTTATGGATATTTTATTATATTTTCATTGTCCTTAGCTTATGTTGAGTCGCCAATATTTTTACTTTCAACTATTTGATATTTGCAGTTGTTTAGTAATTTTTAATGCAATGATTTTAGATAGATAATGCTTAGCGTTCAGTATAGAAATTTGTTAATGTCAAGAAAACCCACATCGCACATGACATTTATTTTATTCTGTTTTTATTACATTTCTTTTATTTCAAAATGAATTTAGTAAATTACAATAATAAATATTTGAATTTTCGTATAGCCAAATGATAATTGAATATTGCACGACTTTCTTAAGTGATTTTATAACGTTTAGGAATGCTTGGCTATGGATTTGCATTCATAAAACTAAGCAGTTGTTAAAAATATATTTAGTTATAGTTTATTGATTGTACACTCAGTTACCTTTTGCGCTAAAAGGAATTAGGAGTGATGGTGAACATTTAAAAAATGCCAATAAATATTATATTTATATTTTATTTGAATTTAAGAGCCCTGAATGTCGTTTTATTTAGTGGAAGTAATAATATTATTACTAATATGGTTTATTTATTCAGTTCTCCTCGAGGCCAAAAAAGACATCCACTAAATATAAATTTGGTATCTATAAACAGATTTTATATTTATATTTTGTTTGTAATTAAAAATTTAAGTTATTAAATTTTGTTTTTATTCGACCTTTAGGACAATTCTGCAAATGTTAGCGTAATTATGTAAAGACATTAGCGCTTTAACTACAGCCCTTTATGACACAGGTCTTAATAAATATATCTAATTCACCATTGATTTGCGAATAACAATGGCAAAATGCAAGTAATGTAGACTATTAACATGTAATTATTACGTAAACATTAGCTGAATTGAGGCCCTTCATTTTGTATAGTAATGATTTGTTTTTAAAAAAAATAAGGGATTATTATTATATGTTATAGTATACTTTGTGACACTTTGAAAAGGATCCAAACAATAAGTATTACTAGACTTTCACAATGTTCAATGTAAATGATGAAACAGTCGGTGCGGAATGGGTGGATTGTAATAGCCATTGACTAGGTGAGTGACACAAGCTTGGAAGTAGTGTGGCACGGGTAGGAAAGGTCAACTTTATCCATTAGTAGTTCTCTATGTTTTTGTTTGTGTTATATTTTGTTTATAAATAGACATTTCTAACTGTGTCACGCCTTTTCGACTTGTGTCACATTAATATTTCTTTCTCTTTTCTATTGTATAGCTTTGGTTCCAGTTGGCTTATTAATTTCATGCTTTAGTACTAAGTTTATCATTACTAACTACAAACAACAAAGAATTTGTGTAATATAAATAATAATAAGTAGTTTTCCGGTGACTTCGCACGCGTATTTTATAATCTATGTCACCCGCCTATGTTGACGCTTCCCTATGTGAAAGAAATTTAAAAATAGATCCAATAATTTCGGAACATTCAATGCAAGCAAACAAATCTTTTGTCTTAATAATATAAGTCTAGATATATACAGTAATGAATTATACTGCTATTGTCCTTGCCCTCTTCGTTATGTTATTGCATCGTTTACATATTATGAATGTTTCAAGTTAAACGTGAAATTTTTGTTTTTGCGCGTTTCTTTCTATACGTCTTATTTGGATAACCGAACTATGTGACGTCAAGTTACAGTCTTACTATATCTTTCCTGTTACTAATGTCAGTAGTTTCTTAGTATTATGTGTAAAAAGTTATTATTATATTTTTTGTTGTATGTTACTAGTCTTTTAAAGTAAATTTGCTTACGTTTATGTCAATTAAAACTATCACATTAACGAGTTTTATATCGCAACAGGAGACAACAAACCGATTTGGCAAGTAGCCGAGGAGAGAGAGGAGAATAAACATCTACAGAAAGAAAACGCACCGTACGGTGAATACGGCGGTTGGCATAAAGCTGCAAAGGTATGCCTTATTAAAAATTCTATATGTAAAATTTCCCGAAATTTAAGCACTATTTTTTAGAGTCCAATGGTCTTATTTTGATAATTCTTAAATAGGCTTAGTATAAGATATTTATAACTGTTTTTATGAATTGAAATACCCTTATTTTGTAAATTCAAATAATTTGATTTCTTTTTCCGAAACCTGTATACGTTCTGGAATCATATTATGACTTGAGATCTCCGTGAGAGTCGGACTTTTATTGTGATATGTCTTAAGTACATTTATTAGGATACCAGTATATGAAGCTAGTAATTAACTTATCGACACATCCTTCTATTCAAAGTTTTTCATACTTTTTATAGTCCTTTATGGAGTCAAATGTCGTTATAAATAAATTTGACTTAATAAATAGTAATCAAATATTTATTTTACTGAACTGTTAATTTGGTAAATTGCAATTACGTACGATATTATACGTAGATTTCATAAGAAATATGCACTTATTGATGCAAAATTTTACGTATTGACTTGTTTTTAAATGAATCAAGAGTCTTCCTTATGAGTTATTGAATTTTGTTCAGGTTGACTCACCTACTGTTACGACTACTTTGAAGAATCTAGGCGCCCTCTACCGGCGTCAAGGCAAATACGAAGCTGCCGAAACCCTCGAGGACTGTGCTCTACGCAGCCGAAAAGAGCCGGTGAGTTTAACTTTAATCTTTCATATCTCTGTCATTACGCGAAATTTAGTTAAATAAATAGACACATATATTTTAGTTATTTGCCTTTTTATAAGAATGAATACTCATTAAATTACATTTGTAGTATTAAAGTAAAACGATTTTTAATGGCATGATTTATAACAACGTAATTAAACGCACTGTACACTATTATATTTTTTACGTATTTTTGCAAGATATATTGTATTTCGTATGTTTATTTTATCCATGTAATTGAGCGCTAAAGAGTGGGCACGAAATTAACGGATATCATGTTGATTTGCACGCTGCCTAGCACGTTCAGCAAGTAAGTCATCGAGACTGTTCGTAACATTGATACAGTAGAGACGTAATAAATTAAAATATACAGGGTTAGTCGTAATATATCAAAAACCTAGAGTACTATATAGCTCGCATATATATCATCAAATAAGCGTTGTTATATATGTGTAATTCGTTGCATTTTTGCTTACAAACAAAAATAAATATTTAATATACTGTTCAATCGTAAATAACTACGCCCATTTAATATGTAGATTCAGTCAGCGCCATAATCCTCGATGGGCTTAAAGTACAGAAGTTCAATTATTTATTAAACTCAATTTGATCACTTTGCGTAATAAGATAAATATGCAATTTTAATCGCTTGGATAAAGTTTTAATGACCTTGGTCTGCGATATTTATGACGCTGACTGTACTTCACGCAGCGTCAAAGACCTGTAAATGTTACGACAGTACAATAAAAACTTTAAAAATCATTTTCTCAAATTCAATTCTGTGATAGTAGAACTAACGTTGTTTATGATATCAGCTATGTAATACTGCGAGGTTGCTAGTGTTTTACAAATAACCCTGTATAGATAAAATAAATATGTATAAGTAATATCCTATGAAATTATATATCGAAATTTATTCAATCTAGGTTACAGCATTGACAATAACATTGAACCAAATGAATGCATTATTTAGAAAACTGGTTCAGACTCTTAGTAGCCATTTCAGCTTTTGTTAAAAAATAAAACAAAAGTAAAACAGAAATATAATGTACAAATTTTATAAGCGCATATCTAGAAGTAAATATATATTCAAATACTTAAAGTCGCTTAGTGCTTCCTCTCCTCATAATAATCATAGCTTATTTTATTACGTTTTTTTTCAGTTACCTTGATCGTGTTGCGTAGACACATATAGATTTGAAATATTGCTTTTCCTGTATTTTCAAATTTGTTCTTATCTTTGAAATGGTTTTCATGGTTCAATTGATTTGTAGTATACAGATTAGTCAACCGACCGCTTGGTCTGTTTGTGTTTGTTTTTCATAACATGGTTTAATAAAAAAATGGTTTATTCTTTATTGTTAAAATATAAATAAAACCTGAAGTGAATTTTCTCCCCAGCTCCATTTTTTATTAAGCTCGAAAGTGTTCTGGGTTCGATTCCCGGTTATTTTTTCTTTTGAAGATGAAGAGTACCGGCCTCTATCAATTTTAGTTACAACGCATATTGGGTATAAAAGTGCTTTTTATAGAAGTATTATAACTTTTGTTAGCTATAAGTTAGCCGTTATGCGGTTAGTTGTACCGGGCTGTTGGTTCTTAGGCATTGGACATCGTAAAGCAGTCTCGGTCTCGCAGCGCTCGCCACGGCAGCCGTGAGTCTATCGACCATCACGACGAGGTTAGGACGAACTAGTGGGCTCATGTTGTTAATGTGTACCGAGGAAAAATAAACTTTACTCCCTTTGTGTAAGGTCGAACAAATTGGCGCAATGTTAAAAAAAGAATATCAGTAATATGGGTGTAGACAATTACTTTTTTATATTTTTATTTTATAAGTATACATGAAGTATATCTAAAAAAAATAAACATATAAAAATAGTATCAATCATATAATACGTTAAAATCTAAAAATAAATTAAATTTTTGAAATTTCTCGAGAAAACGTCAACTTCTGTCATGGTGTCGTTATGACGTCATGCCCTTCTAAAACTAATATCGTTCTATGCGTGCATAGGGTTTAATTCTCTAAGTTCTGATATGAGTAAGAGGGTTGTGAAGTCACGCGCTGTTCGTATAGTATATTTAACACTACCATAAAAAAAGGATTTTCGTTTATTGTCTACAACCGTATTACTCCTGAAAGCAAAAAAGAGGCGATTTCTGATGATTTACTGAAATAGAGCTCTATTACGATATCGTATCTAATTTGTAATTTGGATTTTAACCTTATGCAAATTGAGTTAAGTTGAAATTTGAACGTCGTTGTCACTTCGTCGCCATACCGACGTCGCTTGTTTGCGTGGGATCGTGTACACTTTATGGAATAACGAGGAAGTTTTATGGAAATTGTCGGAATTCATTTTCACAGAAAAAAATTAATGCAATTCAAATTTTTTATACTGCTCATAATTAACTTGCACGCTTCATTCTAACCTAACTATAAAATCGACTATCATGACATGTGTTTAGTGTGAACTTATGACATTATGATATTGATTTTAAATTAACTAATGCAGTGAGTCTAAAAATAAAGTTATGACCTTTTTAGAATTAGTAGCGGGGCGGTACATAATTTCTTATCGTGTACACGCAGCCTACTCTGAAGCATTGTTACTATACTGAGACAGCCAAAGTACAACAACAGCTACAACAACTACAACAGCTTCGGCATTCTGTAACAACGACGGTGTCACCATCTCTGAGGGCCCGGGTTCGATTCCCGGTCGGGTCAATGTAGAAAAATACTTTTCTTTATTGTCTATATTGTGGGTGTTGTGGTACCTTTAGCTACTCATTTTGGAATCTGAGCAATGTTAAAAATATACAGATTCAAACAGAGTATGAACCCTCTCATATGAAACATCATAAGAATCTCAATGAAACTATCAAATAAAAACCAATTTCCAAAACTGATAATGACCTTATTTGATTGAATCTCTAAAGCTACATGCGACAGTGCCATGTTAGGCGCTGTATTTTTATAGAATGTCAAAGCTGTTGTATTTGTAATAGAATAGCATTCCCTTCTTTCACCCATTAAATATTGATAAAATAAACCATAATGGCTGCTTCACTATCATGCGATTGAAAGTATTTTCTATTTGTGACGTAGTGGACTGTCTTGGGTTGTTTCAATCACTCATCGCACTAGTGTTGTCCTGTTATTGTGTCGGGTGTTTTTTTTTTATTGTGAATGTACTCATCAATTTGTATGTTCTCTGGCACCGTAGTGCGTTTTTCTGCATTTGTCACACACTAGTTGGTTTACGATTTTCGGCTTTTTTAGTCTTTTCACACTTTCCATTGTCACCTTTCATTGTATAATCACTTTTGGTCATCAATCACAAAAGTAGTGTTGAAAAGGTCATTTTTGTTTTTAATAGCACAGTGCACGCTGATTGATCACTTTGGATGTGTTGTGGTGTATATAATTAAGTCAAATTAATGTATTATTCCATATTTATTTTTATAGTAATTGATTGTTATCCTAATAATAAAAATGATACAACCTTATTAAGTATGAAGTCGGTCGAAGATCGAACCTCTAATGCTGCGAAATCTGTTCAACACATATTTTTAACAGAATAACACTGCTGATTGTTATTGTCTTAAGAAATTAAATATTCAATGGCAGCGTTGCAGATTTATCACTACTTTTATATTCTTAATTTATTTATGATTTTTTTTATATGTTCTTTTTATTTCATTTCTTTTTATTATTATTTTTTAATATTTTGTTTATTTTTTTCATTTTTTTCGACATAGGGCACGAATCAAGCGAGCGAACCACGCATGAACCTAAAATCAAAGTTGTTCAATGCGCTAGGGATCAACACAGGGAGCACTTCGCCGCACCAGTAGTCTAAGATTTAGCTATTTAGAGCTTATTATAAGAACTCACTCGCTTTTAATGTATGCGATCCTCTTACACACGTGTTTTACCACAAAGTAACGACTACATATCATGTTAACTAGTTATTGGTTAAAAAAGTATCTTTTCTTCTTTAACTTTCTTTAATGAAAAATGTTTGAAAAATCCATTAGCCTCGGCTACTCAGGTAGCTGGTTGATGTTTATCAGTATAGCATTGTGAATGCAAAAATGTTGAGAAGTTCACTCGTTTAAAGTATCTCTGGTCATAAGTGAAGGGTGAAACCAAATCTAATTAGCAAAAATCAAAACTGATTCTTTTAGGCACTTTAATATTTTTCTTTTAGTTACGTTATCACTTTTAAATCTACTTATTCATTACTTAAAAAGTTACATATGAAATGCTGTTGTTAGTTTGTGGTTAGACATTTTTTTATTTCGCTCATTTTTCACAGGAGGAATCCCCATGAAGAATACGAGACATTTTGAATGTAGCAATCTCATCTTAATCATCCTCTAGTATAACTGAATGTTTATTGCACGTAAAAATTTTCCATTACGTAGGAGTGGATCATTCTCATCTCATTATGTTGCAACATTCAAAATGTCAGTATTTTAAATGTAGCTTAGTATTATTTATTAGCATCAGCATGCGGTAGGAGTTAAAATATATAACTAAATTATAAATTATACAAATTAATCTGTGTGATAGAGAGAAAATGAGCAAGTTAGCCGTCCTTAATATACATTATAAAAGTTTATTATAACTAATGTAGACGGTGATGATTTTACAATATTTTAAATATAATGACGACTGAAAGTCATGTAGTTATATTTTATATCACTATCATTGTAATACAGCAAATCGTGATTATAAGTGTAATCTATGTTGTATGAAAAATTGAATATCGATGAGTACCTATCGCAATATTTAAGAAAAGAAGGTAGTTTTATAAGATGTAACTATGTTTGGAAATCTATTGTTTATATTGCATTTATTAATTGTGAAGTGTCCGATAATATTTGATATAATTATGTCATAATTATTATACATTTTAAATCACGCATGTTTTTAAACAACGATTTTATTCGCTTACGATTTAATTTTTTATAATTTGCTGATAATTATTGTCGATGTTGTTCTTTTATGGAGAATGCATGAAAGTGATTTTATTATTGTGAAAGTTATCTACTTATATAAATTGTATGTGTTGCCAGTAGTCAATTATAATTATTTTTATTTCATTTTGTCAGTAATATTATGCATACATAAACTTTCATTCCAGTTTTAGTGTACTTTTATCGGTTTAAGCTTTATGTGAGAGTAAAGAGTATAGATTGTTAAAAAATAATAATATAGTATTTTTTTATATACAATAAATTTTTTATATTTGTATGTGGGTGCTGCTTGAATGGTGGGTTTTACTCTATACGCACTAGATTTTAATTAAACACGATTTAATATCGGCAAATATTAGTTACTGAACCTTGATTTTTCTCAAATGCAAAAAACATAATCCAGAATCTCCAATTTTATAAGCACATTTCCCATGTCACAATATTGTAAAAGATTCGGATGGTTTTTAAAATATCGGTAATATTCGTCGAATAGTATTTTTAAATTGTTAATAAATATTTATGTAACATTTATGTTTTGTTTTATTTTATTTTTCATCTACACACATGCGTATTGTTTCCGTTAAAATGGTGAGTCTACAGTGTTATGCAATTTATAATCCACATTTAATTATGTCACTCAAAATACACAGTTAATCTAAACAAAATATACAAAAGCATGATATTTCATCAAATTTTCTGGAACTATTCTACCGATTGTTTTGATTTCAACGGCTTTCGCTGTTAGTCAGAAGTAGATGCATGACGGCATCTTAAAATCATCCACGATTTGATTTCTGTATATTCATATTCATTCATACTCACCACTGCTCTACATTATTAGTTTAGTGAACGTATGTTTTTTTTTTTAATTTCCTTGCCGTTTCTGATTGACACCAGATAAAAAAAATGACGGCATATCCATTGCCAACTTATTGAAATTTAAAACACCCTCGTGTTTTTAAGGCCAAGGTATCTGACTCACACAGCCAAACTATTTTTATTTGCTCCAAACTTCTTTATTTTTGTTATTTTTTTTTTTGGACCAATATGGAGTGTAAATTGCATAACACGGGCGCGGCAGGGCCCGGCCGAGGTGTCGCGGAGCGCCAGTTTCTCGAAACTTCGAGAGTCGTTGAGGCGGTCGTCGGTGCGACTATTCAATCGGATCGCCGGTCGTCACTCGGCTCACCTGCCGCCTGATGTAGACTTCACTGACCCAGAAAGGTAAAACTTTGTAGAGCACAGCTGGGAGAACTGGCACACAAATTAAACAAAGGATAAGACTGCATTATATTAATATAGTTGCACCTTCGCTTCTATGTACTCTGCATGGTGTAAGTTCCTTATTAAAATTGATGGATGACGTGTTGGTTTTCCATAAATATAAATATGTACAGCATTCGTAAGGTATGTGGACTGTTTATTTTTGGAAATTTATTTACAATGTTTTGTATTTAATCTTCAATGCAATATAAATTAGCAAATTAAATATTTTTTGTCATATTTGTAATGTGTGGGTTAATTGTAGCATGCATTTTGCTTGATGTTCTAGATTATACTTTTGTGATAATTTTAGTTAATCTTACTTGATGTAAACACTGCATTCAGTCTGGTTACCACAATATGTCAGACTATCACAATTGATTTTAATCTCTACCTTAAATGTATTATGGTTTAAAATCAAGTGAAGATGTCTGCCAAATTGTATAACCTACTGTGCTGTTGAATGTATGAAAATATCATGGAATGTTATATTCCACAAAGTTAAACAAAGTTAAAGTTTAGAATTTTCGTGTTTGTAAGCTTCGCCATTTGAATAAAAATACAATATCTTCTACAAATTCATATTCGAAATGGTTAGTAAACTGTACATAATTTTGTTGTCCCACAAATATCTGTAAAAAAAAGTATTGCCAATACCATAACTGTTATAACAGTCACTTACAAAATTGAATTAAAAATTATATGAAGATGTGGTAATGTTAACATAGGTAATAGTTTAATCCCGTTTCTGCGGCATCGCTCTACATATTTTTTGTAGTATATAATTGTACAAAGCATGCATGTGAACGGATTTAGAGACAACGTACTAAGTATCCGTTAAAACATATACTACAAAAAAGTGCAGGACAATGCCGTATGAAAGGCGACATAATGGGCCATTTATAAATTACGTCACATGCATTTTGCCATTTTCTGACCCATTCACCGTCCTTGTCAGAGTTGTACTTGTAGCATGATAAACTCGAAAACTTTCGCGAAAACTGACATTCGGTGTACACAAAGTGTCTTCGGTCACGGCTACGCGTGCTGCACGCCTACTCGTCAAAAGTGAGATATCGGCGCACCCGAGAAAAGTGACATTTGGGTTTAGACACAGCGTTTCTCTAGTTTGTCATGCTACGGCGAGCCTTCTGTGACTAAATATTTTTACACCAAGAAAGTAATAAAAATGAATAAAATTAATTTCCGCTGCTACTGAAATTAGTTTTATTTCTGTAAAATATCAGTTTTGCAAGTTATGCTTTCAACAATATGTCAAAATTCTGCAGTTGATTTTAAACTGTAACGTCACCATATTAAGGTTTAAAATCAAGTGGAGAAATTTGATGGTTTTATATAACCCGACGGCCTGTTGACTGTACATAGTTTTAATACAAAAAGTGATGTCTCAAAATATATGATACGTCTCCACTCCTTGTCACAATTCGTTGACCACATCCTTCTCCCTTAACGTGAGACGTAATTTATTGATGAATTACTCTTATCCAAAATTATATCATTTTGGATAAGAGTACTTAATAAAAATATGAGGATATTTGATTAGTAAAAGTAAAGTTTGACCTACTGCAGCATGAAGCGCGCAAGCTCCCTGTCCGCGCTCAGTAAGCCTGGCAGTCCAGACAGCGCGAGACCACGGTAGCCAACCGCCGCGACCATCAAGAGAGCATTACACTACACCACGATCACCTTCATTCGAGTACTGACGCTGCAGTCGTGACCAGGCCCGGACCTTAGGGGAGAGGGCACTTGTTTCGGGCGACAGTGGGGCGCCAAAATTATTACCTCTATAATAGAATACAAGAAAATAAAAGAGTTTCACAAACATGGATACGGAATGTATAAATACGGATACGTATTCAAAAAGTCCTTAAAATAAATAATATAGGGCGCAACATTAAGTGTCTGCACCGGTTGGAAAATATCGTAGCTCCGGGCCTGGTTGCGACAAAACGATTGCTCGAGCGGACCTACACACGCAAATGGTTTTTCTATTATCACAAACGTAAATAAGTTAGCAATATTCTACTATCATTGGCCATGAAATCTATCAGTTTATTATTTGCGTGGTTTTCAATTTAATAAGAGTACCTAAGAAATGATTTCTTGTTTATTGATCTCGAAAAAAATGGTATTTTAAAATTTGTAGTTTGTAAGATAATGACAATGAGATATGTCATTATGTATTCTGTAAGTGTGATCAAAGTTTTATTATAGACTGAATAATTGTATTTCTATTGCTGTTCTATTCGTTGAATCTAAAAATCAGAAGAGTGCTGTATCGGTAAAAATCATGTAGAAATGAATCTGTGATGTAGGAAGGGTCATGAAGGGTGGCTAATAGTAAAAAACATATTTCCACTAAAGCTAAGTATTTATATAGCCATTATATAGCCACAAATAAAAGAGTGGCGGAAAAATTATTCCACTGAAAAAAATACGAACCAAAAGCAGGTAACCTTCCTACCTACACGTAGTTTTAGGTACATAATACATTCCTAAGAGGCACAAGTGATGTGTATTTATATTTCAGTAAAATAAACTATAATCACTATAAACCACTGTATTTATAGAAACACTTCAAAATGTCTCTACAAATAATAAAAAATAATTAAGATAAACAAATTACCTATCTGATGGCAACCATTTTATCTAAGCTACATCTAGAGATTTAATTTCTATCAATATATTTGGTTTTGCGTAATACATATTATATACATACATATTATAATGTCAGTACCTAGATTGCTTTATATGTGTACCTATGTGTAACAAATATTTTAGAAAGATGCTTTGCTTTTCAAACGCAATTACTTATGTCCGGCTTGTGTTTGAAGTCACTAAAATTGTAAAAAATGCTGTTTTAAAAATTGCTAACTGTACAGACAACAGCAAGTCAG